GTCTGTCTGCCAGAGAACCGCTTTGCTTCTACCAGAGTTGCTCCCAGAGTTGCTCACCAGAGAAGCCATCAGAAACTGGTCATCAGAAAGATACCAGAGTTGGCAACAGAGGCGGACTTCAGAACTTGGACCAGAGAGCCTCTTAAGACTCTGCTAAACACACCAGATTTCGGAAGCACTTTCCAACGGTCGTTAAACTAACGGGAAATCCCCTAACGGTTACGAACCTTTCAACGGAAACATGGTACTGTACACGCATTAAATGCACATTTAATGTTGTACGTACGAAGAGATATTTAAAGCTGATGATTGACCATGCGAGTATCTTTACGCCCCCAAAATACAAGTCGAAGGTCCAACCGGTCAAGTCAACAGTACATGCATTTAATGAAGCTGTCTTCTACACTCCAACGGGAAGACTGCTCCCAGTATATAAGATACACTCTGAAGAACGAAGAAAACAACTTTGCGTAAAACAACTTTGCTATAACATCTGAAAAACGAACTTGCTCAAAGCCTTCTTGAGATTCAAACTTCATCCTTAACAAGAAAAGGCTACGGTTGGAAGATACATTTTCTAATCCCTTATCCAACTAGCAAAGCTGCAAAGTTACTCAGTTCTTCAACACTTCGAAAGCCTCATCTACTCATCCTTTGTGAAGAAGCAACGTTGGAGAAAACTGATTTTATATCAAATACTTCTTGAAAAAGAAGGGACGTCTCAAACTAGCTGGAGTAAGTGAAGTGGGGATACTTCAAGAGACTCAGTGAAACGAGACCAGCCATCAGGAAGCAGGACTGCATCCCGGGTGGCAACTAGACTTGAAGAAGACGAGGAGTGCTTCTTAAGTTCTAGGGACTAAGGCGTTGTAAACAGTTTTTTTTGCAAGCTTAGTGGAACAGTGGACTAGAGGAACAAGTTGTTCCTTGAACCACTATAAAAACACCGGTGTCATTTACTTTAAGCCTTTAATTCCTGCACTTAAGATTCTACTGATTAACTCTTAAGGTTGGACTCTGTGTCCAGCAGATCTTCCTTCAGAGGTATCAGAAAGGCATTTTGCCTTAGCTTTCTTCTAGAGGCTACCCGGACAGAAACTTATCCGCTGCCTGGTCTAGTTCTGCCATCAGAACTTGACCATCTCTGTCACCAGATTTCGACCATCTCTGATAAGTCAGACTTGACTAGGAGAAAAGTTTAAATTCCTGAACAGTCTATTCACCCCCCCCCCCCCTCTAGACTGTTCCCATTACAAACGGGACCAACACTTACCATCACAGGGAGCTTACTTCCAAGGAAATTTGATAAGAAAGTATCATCCTTAATCCCTTTAATGTCTTTAGGGTCTGATTTGCTAAGTCCTGGGATATCTTCAGTTAACAAAAGTTTAATCTTGTTAATATCTTCCCCCACAGGTTGCTCCATGGAGTCAAGAAAAACCTCCTCAATCTCAGTTTCAACATCAGAGTGTGTTTCCTCCAAGTTAACCTTAGAAGTAGATTGTCTATTTAAATCAGTTTGATATTTAATCTTATCTTTACCTTTCTCTTGCCTTGTGTACTTTCTGTCTTTGTATGTCTCCTTTTTCTGGACCCATCTGTCCTTTGGCAGAGTTATAGCTTGTTGAGGTTGTTTTTTAGGACATTTGATATGGGAATGTCCTAGATGAAGGCAAGCACTACAGTAATCTGGTCTATTCTCATACCCAATAGGCTGTGAGAATCCATTAACTCCACAATTAATCCACACTTTAGAAGGCATCTCCTTGGTGAGATCGATTTCCACAAAAACCCTGGCCATAGCAGGTCTAGATAAAGTTGTCGTAGCTTCATCAAGCTTTAAGGGCTTTCCAATTAAGCTGGCAATAGCAAATAAGGCAGATTTATCTTGAATATGAATTGGTAACCCTTCCAACGTAATCCAAACTGGGACCACCGGTGATTCGACATTAGGTCGAAATTCCGGAGTCCATTTAGTGGCCCTCATCACATGACCTTGAATAATCCAGGATTGCCTATTCCAACATCGAATAAAATCTTCTTCCAATTAAAAACGAATTAATACATGTTTCGGATCCAATGTTCCCAACTGAAATGAGCCTTTAAAACCAATGATTTCAAAAGCTTTCCTTAAGATCAATAAACTGGGTTTACCTTTAAAAAAGTATCCAACCAAAGCTCTTTTGTGTTTGTCAGCAAGCTTTTGAACATCATCATTAGAAAAAGATATGGACGACATTCCTTTAAATCTTGATTTGTCTGGACATATTTCTGATCGGCCAGCAACCACATCCGCAAAGGATTTTTGATGCCATGTTCCACCTCCCTTACCGCCACCGGAGGGTGGCGGCGCAACCGCAGATTCGGTCATTAGGTTTTCGCCAGAGCTTCTTCAGGTTTTCTAATCATAATCAACCTTAGGATCAATCTTAACAACATTTCATTTTAATGTCCAACTAGTATCTTAATACTAGTCAAATTACTTCCAAAAAACCAAGTTCTCAACTCATAGTCATATAGACAATTCCAACTGATTTTCCTTTGAAAATATCATTTATCTCAATATTCAAAATATCACTTTTAATCACTCATATATTCTAATATGAAGTAAAAAGTATATTTCAACATATGATTCATAATTAATTCTTCTTTCAAGTCAACATACTCATAACACATGACCATACACAATTTACTCTTAAATTTGTATATCATGCTCCTTTTCTCTATAGACATTAGTACAGTCTTCTCATTCTTAGGCATTATTAATCATTAATAATCCATAAAAAACACATTTAATTACCTTAGGTAATCTCATGAAATTAACTCACTAATTATAAGCAATATAGTCAGACATCCTCACCTTATAGAGTGCTTGACTAGTTGCCTCTGCAAACCCTTCGACCCGTCCTCGTTCTAGGTTGTTCGAAAGTGGAAATCTGGACTGCTGGGCAAAAGCCGAGCGGCTTTCACGAAAGCCGGGCGGCTTTCGTAGTCTGCAACTACGAACAGCTTCCTATATGTGGCGGTTTCCGGCGATTTCGACTCCTATCGATTCACCAACTCTTCTAAGTTAATTAACACCACATTATAACAATATTCTACACTTTTAAACGTGTAGAACTCATGGTTTAATCCATTATATGATTTCTTACAAATCATGCACCATAAAACTAGTTAAAGGAATTGTTTGTTGAGTCCTTACCTCAAACACTCTCCTTTTCTCCTTGGATTTCTTCTCCTCTTGCTCCCTTCGAATTGGACCTTGTTGAAGGCTTATTGCCTGAGCTCTCTCTCTCCCTTAGCTTATTCAGATGGTGCAAAATGAGGCTGGAAAGATCCTCTCAATCACCCAAATATTGTGATGAGAGTGGGGTATGGAGGGTGTGGGTTTTTGTCTCAAGGAGGCTTCCTCCTTCATGCACGCCCCTCCCATGTTCTGGTGTCCCTTCAGCTCCCATTAAGTCAACTAGAGCAATTAAAAACGTGGGGTGGCACCCACTTATGTGGGAGGTCATCCCATTATGTCCCGGTGTGTACAATCGACCCCGAAAGTTGTATTTCTCGGACCGTTTAGATTATATTTTATTTTATCGGGCCAAATAAAATATATCACGTGTTTCCACTATATATGAGCCTTTAGAATAGATGTACATTCCCCAACATTAATTTAGGAGTCTCCGAAACTCATTTCGGGCTGTTGTCCGCTAAATTACCAATACCGGTAATTGGGCCCCGTTTAACCCACCGGTCAACTCCATGCCCTTCCTATTGCCCAAATTAAAATATCCACCTCCATATAGATGTCATCTAGACCAAGATGAATATAATATGTGGTTCGGGAATTATCGGGCGGTCCCCGTTCTCGTTGTGGGCCCCACATGCAATTTACTATTCACGTAAAAGAAATAATAAAATTTAACAATTACGTAAATTCATAAATCATCCTTCAAGGTTTATTACATAATTTACTAAAAGTAAACATGCTTGGGGACGGTGTCACAAACGTGGTCCTCTCACAAAAACCGCCCACTTTCCGCATGTGTGTGGATTACACCGACTTGAATAAGGCATGCCCCATGGATCCCTTCCCTCTGCCAAACATTGATCATATGGTAGATGAGACAGCGGGGTGTGAGATCGTGTCCTTTCTCGTTGCCTTCCGCGGATATCACCAGATCTTTATGCACGAAGAAGACGCTGAAAAAACAGCCTTCATGACTCCCGAAGGCATCTTTTGCTATCTGGTGATGGCCTTCGGCCTAAAACATTCGGGTGCCACCTACACCTGGATGGTGGCCAGGGTCTTTCAAGCCATCCTAGGGCGCACTATGGAGGCCTATGTTGACGACATGATCGTCAAGAGCAAACAATCGACAAGCCATGTTGACGACCTCCGGGAGATCTTTGCCATCATGCAGAAATTCAGCCTTCGACTAAACCCGAAGAAATGCACCTTCGGCGTGCAAGGAGACAAGTTCTTAGGCTACATGGTAAGCCGAAGGGGTATTGAAGCCAACCCCGAGAAAATCCAGGTCATCATCAACATGGAGCCCCCACGCAACGTGAAAGAAATCCAGAGGTTGACGGGCCGCCTGACAGCCCTCAACCGCTTCCTTTCCAAATCAGCAGAAAAGGCCCTCTCCTTCTTCCAAATCATCAGAATGCCAGGACGCCTTCGACAAATTAAAATGGTACTTATCTTCACCCCCTGTGCTTTCCAAACCCAAGGTAGGAGAGACTTTATGATAAGTTACGTATGCATGCCGTGCATACTATTATTTGCAGTACAAGTATATATGTATATTATTTGCCATTCATTTACCTTTAATATGTATTTTGTATTTAGTATAAATTGTGTCTAGATACATTAGCTCTATATATATGGTTAGCTAGAATTTAGCCTCAATATTAGGCCTCCAGCCGTGTGAGTAACGTATGACATTATTGCCATACATGCATGTATATATTCTGACCAAGAAGCAATGAAAAGGGGAAGGAAAATTCATTCCAACTTGGTATCAGACGTCCCAGGTTTACCTTCAGCTATTCCTTGTTTCTTTCTTCCTTCAATGTCTTCTTCTAAGACCTCTTTTCACCCGGCCTTGGCCATCTCAAATATCAAGAACTTCATCCCTCTCACCCTTGATCTCGATAACGGTGACTATGCTTCTTGGGCGGAATTGTTCAAAATTACCGCCCGGGCATACGAAGTTCTTGACCATATAATTCCCTCCACCGCAGCTCCTTCGTGTACGACGACGGATTCCTCTCTCACTGATGAACAAAGTGCTGCACTTTCCGCTACCCGAGCCGAGGCGGTCGCCTTATGGCCCCGCCTAGATGCCGTTGTTCTTCAATGGATTTACGGCACCATATCTCACGACCTCCTTCACACTATCATCGAGGTGGATTCCACGGCTCATGATGCGTGGGAACGCCTCGCTGACCTCTTTCACGACAACAAGCATGCACGGGCTTTGTATTTGGAGAATGAGTTCTCAAATACGCGGCTAGATCAGTTCCAAAACGTCTCTGCACATTGCCGGCATCTCAAAGACCTTTGCACCAAACTCAAAAATGTGGGTGTTACCGTGGACAACGATCGGCTTGTTTTGCGTATGGTCAACGGCCTTTCATCCATTCCGGATTACAATATGGTCGCCTCTCTCATCCAACAACGGGAACCTCTGCCCGTGTTCTCTAAGGCCCAATCTATGGTTGTTCTCGAGGCATCACGCCGCAATCAGTCATCTCCTGCCACTGCCTTGATTCACTCCACCGCCGATATCACACCGCCCGTCCCATCTCCTTCTCGTGGCGGCCGAGGGGGCTCACATCGGGGTGGCGGTCGTGGGCGCTCCTCCTCTCAGCGCGGTGGTCGTGGACGGCAGGCTGGACGTGTGGAACCCACCCATGCGCCCGGTCAGTGGCCTCAGCCTCTCCCCTGGGCTTACTGGTTGCACCCGCAGGCTTGGGCCGCCCCTCCATGCCCCTATCCAGGTATGTCTTGGAATGTTCTGCCCGGCTCACGTCCTCCTTCTGGAGCCGGTATTTTGGGACCTCGCCCGCAGCAGGCTCATATGGCGGAAGCTACACCCACTGACTTGGCCGCGGCAATGCAAACAATGACCTTATCTCCTCCAGGTGAACCATGGTATATGGATACGAGGGCTACGTCAAACATGACGGCTAATCCAGGTTCCCTACTCTCTTTTTCTAATTTAAGCATTAAAAACAAAATCCAGGTTGGAAATGGCAATACCATGCCAATTTCTGGTTTCGGCCATACCATCCTGCCACCCCCCAATCCCCCCCTCACTCTTACAAACGTCCTATATGTCCCCTCCCTTATTAAAAATCTAATTTCTGTTCGTCGTTTTACTACTGATAATTCTGTTTCTGTTGAGTTTGACCCGTTTGGTTTTTCTGTGAAGGACTTTCAGACGGGCATTCCAATCATGCGGTCTAACAGTACGGGCGACTTATCCCCCCCTCACTCTTACAAACGTCCTATATGCCCCCTCCCTTATTAAAAATCTAATTTTTGTTCGTCGTTTTACTACTGATAATTCTGTTTCTGTTGAGTTTGACCCATTTGGTTTTTCTGTGAAGGACTTTCAGACGGGCATTCCAATCATGCGGTCTAATAGTACGAGCGACTTATATCCGCTTCACTCTTTTTCCCCGCACTCACAGCAGCAGTCCGCGTTCGTTACAGTCCCGGCCCAAGTTTGGCATGACCGGCTCGGCCACCCCGGGTCTCCTGTTTCTAAATTTCTTAGTTCAAATAAAATGTTACCATGTAACAGACCCATTTCCCATTTATGTAATTCATGTCAAATAGGCAAACACATTAAATTGCCTTTTTCCTCTTCTGAATCATTTACTTCTCGCCCTTTTGAAATAATTCATAGTGATATTTGGACTTCTCCTCTTATTAGTACATCTGGTCACAAATACTATGTTATTTTCATTGATGATTTCACCAAATTTATTTGGACATTCCCCATGCAATATAAATCACAAACCTTCTCCATTTTTTCTCAATTTCATTCTCTAATTCACACTCAATTTGAATGTAAAATTAAAATACTTCAATGCGATAATGGAAAAGAGTTTGACAATTCTACATTTCGAAAATTTGGTGAACTTCATGGCATGCACTTTCGTTACTCCTGCCCATATACATCTCCCCAAAATGGAAAGGCTGAACGCTCTATTCGTACAATTAATAATATTGCACAAACTTTATTATTGCATGCATCTATCCCGCCCAAATTCTGGCCTCGTTTAAGGCCATAAAGGGACTTAAGTAAACGGCACATATGAGAAGGACGAGAATGATCACGGTAGCCCGGGGGTTGATGCATGAACACAGTTTCCCCGTCCTCCTAATGCTAATATCATTCGCTGCATGTGGCTTTATAAACACAAGTACAGGTCGGACGGATCTCTTGAACGTCACAAAGCTCGGTTAGTGGTCAATGGGAATTCTCAACAAGTTGCCATTGACTGTGACGAAACGTTTAGTCCGGTTGTCAAACCCGCTACCATTCGTGCGGTACTCACATTGGCTCTATCTCATAATTGGCCACTACACCAACTTGACGTCAAGAATGCTTTTCTCCACGGCACTCTCGACGAAACTGTGTTCATGCATCAACCCGCCATGTGAGATATTGTGCGTTGCAATATCTCACATTTACTCGACCCGACATATCCTACGCTGTACAACAATTATGTCTCTTTATGCATGACCCACGTGCACCCCATCTTCACGCCTTGAAGCGAGTTCTACGCTACGTCAAAGGCACTCCACATCTGGGTCTCCATTTACGGTCTTCTCCCGTCACCGACCTTGTTGCATATACCGACGCTGATTGGGGTGGATGTCCCGACACTCGTTGCTCCACATCCGGCTATTGTGTTTTTCTTGGTGACAACTTACTTTCATGGTCCTCTAAACGCCAACCCACTCTGTCTCGTTCCAGTGCTGAAGCTGAATATCGGGGTGTTGCTAATGCGGTAGCCGAGCTCTGTTGGTTGCGAAACCTGTTGCTTGAACTCCACCATCCACATCACAAAGCTTCTGTTGTATATTGTGACAATATTAGCGCCGTCTATCTTTCCGGCAATCCGGTTCAGCATCAACGCACTAAACATATTTAAACGGACATTCATTTTGTTCGTGAAAAAGTGGCCCACGGACAAATCAAAGTTCTTCATGTTCCGTCTCGTCATCAATATGCTGATATTTTCACTAAAGGCTTGCCGCGAATTTTGTTCGAAGATTTCCGATCCAGTCTCAGCATTCGGCCTCCTCCAGCTGCAACTGCGGGGGCGTGATAAGTTACGTATGCATGTCGTGCATACTATTATTTGCAGTACAAGTATATATGTATATTATTTGCCATTCATTTACCTTTAATATGTATTTTGTATTTAGTATAAATTGTGTCTAGATACATTAGCTCTATATATATGGTTAGCTAGAATTTAGCCTCAACATTAGGCCTCCATCCGTGTGAGTAACGTATGGCATTATTGCCATACATGCATGTATATATTCTGACCAAGAAGCAATGCAAAGGGGAAGGAAAATTCATTCCAACTCTTTATATCTCTACCTTGGCATCAGTCCCGCTGCCATCAACTCAACACTAATTCGGGAGGAAGACAGCATCCAACATGCCATCTTCTACGTCAGCAAAACACTCAGGGAAGCAGAGCTCAGGTACTCTCCCGTAGAGAAGACGGTGCTAGCCATCATTTGGACCGTAAAGAAACTGGGCCATTACTTCCAAGCCCATCCGGTCCAGGTCCTCACACACCAACCCTTCAGCGCTCTAATGAGGAGCCCTACCAGCTCCTCCCGAATGGTAAAATGGGCTATCTTCCTTAGCCAGTACAACATTGACATTCGACCGAGGCCTGCCATAAAGGGCCAAGCCCTGGCGGACTTCGTGACGGAGTGCACGGCAAGATCGGCGGTGGATGAGGAGCCTTCGGCTGTAACACCCCAAAATTTCCCACCCAAAAATATATTTAAATAATGATTTATTTGAAAACATCAGAGTTGTGCAGCGGAAAATTCAAAGGGAAACAGGGGTGTTACCGCCACACTCGGTTCTCACATAACCGAGTGCACAGGCTATCCACCACCAATAATTAAAATTTTCTACAATTAATAGTTCAACTACAATTCTTTAAAATTAAGACTAAAATAAATTACTCAGTAAATTTTAGTCTATGTGTTACGTTCTAACGGAAGCTCTCGAAATCAACTTCAACATGATCCTCAATTCCTGCACAAATAAAGTACAGAAAGAAAACACGAAGAAACAAAAATTAGTTGGAAATGCTAAGTAAGGTCCACTCAACCCTGTAAAATAATCAGGTTTGATACATATATACATTTTTGTAAAACCTTTGGGAGGAAACCTTTTAAGACACTCCATATCAATCGTAAGTAAAAATAACAATATTTCAAATATTGATTAATATTTCAAACCACAATTATCAAACCTTTCGCAAATATGTTTTCCAAATCAATATCACAAGTATTTGTATTTTAAAAATTCGCAATTAATATAATGATTCAATAAATCTCAAATTCAATTCCATTCAATCCACCTCAAATTCAATATAATCTCAAATCCAATCAAATCCAATTCACCTCAAGACCAATCAAGTCTTATCAAATAATCCAAATCACCTCAAGTCTAATGAAATTAACCTCAAAGCCTCAAAAACCAATTCATCTCAATACCAATCGAAACCAAGTCCAAGTAATCCAAATATAATCCAATCATTCAAACTCAATCAAAGCCAATGGAAACCGAACTTCTACCTTAAGTGTGAACACCCCCTAAAAGGGATTCCAAGCCCTCCGGGCAGTGAAAAGTCCGAGTAGTCGGGATTTTTCTACCGACTACTACAATTAAGCTGGGATGCTCCGCTTTTGGGAGATCCCTGGTGGAATTAGACTTATAGTCATTACCACTCACCAAATCCACATTTGCTCGAGGTTACCTTGGTGTTGGCATATGGTATGAAAGTGTAAAACACTTCAAACTCAGAGGTTATACTGATAGTGATTGAGCAGGTTGTATTGATGATAGAAAGAGCACCTCAGGCTCAGTGCTTGACCTTGGTTCTGGAGCCATTACATGGAGCTCCAAGAAGCAAGACACCATTGCTTTGTCTACCTCTTAGGCAAAGTACATTGCTGCAGGAGCTGCAGCAAAGCAAACATTGTGTCTAAAGAAACTCCTGAAGGATTTGTGTTGGGAACAACTGGAAGTTCTAGAGATATGGTGTGATAACATGACAACTATTGCAATGACAAAGAATCTGGCATTTCATGCTAGAACAAAGCATATAGATGTGCAATATCATTTCATAAGGAAGCTTGTAGCTGAAGGGAAGATAACCCTGCAATTTTTTGGAACTGAGTTTCAAAATGCAAACCTATTCACTAAGGCTTTGACTCAAGCTAAGCATAAGTTCTTCATGGAAAGGATTGGGATGACAAGCTTGGATCAAGGGGGGGTGTTGAATGAGTGATCAAGCTTGTATACACACGAGTTTACAACCATGCACACGTCGAAATTATCTATTTAATTACTTATTTATTTGTTTGTTGAGTCATTTGAATAAGTCTTTATTGTTGACTTAATTGTAGGAGCATGATCAGTTTGTTGTTAGCATTTTCTTTGAACGTGGGATAAGCCTAAAACTAAGGAGTTAGTTAAGGGCCTCACTCACCACTTTCTTTATCATTGTAAAGCCTAGATAGTTTTCACTTCAATACAAACACTGTGAGTTCATGAATTCTGGTCTTCTTGTTTATCATTTTTAGTATAGCTTGAACTTACAATAACGAAGGGGACAGTCCATCCGGCGACATGAAGTAGCGGCTCTTCTCTGCCGACGATGTTGGCCGGTCTGAAGCTTCCCTCATAGATGACACGGTGCATGGCTTCTCCGACCCTGTGCTTTCTTCCGTTTCTCCAGTGTTGGGCGGAGTTCAGTGGCAGTGGTACAGTACGGTGGCAGCAACTTCAATTTCTCCTCCTCCTGGTGACGCATGCAAGAAGTTTGGCTGACGGATGACTTGGCTAGTTAGGGGTTCGTTCGTTCCCTTGCTATACAGAGTATTAAATGTACTACGTATTATGTATATATGTGCAGGTTCCCGGTGAACGGTATATATATATGTGCAGGAGTGTATACATGTATTATCACATGTATTATTGTGACCCAATGCGTTTGTTTTGGTGTCTATTATTATTGAGAAGTAGTAGTGTGCTCTAGCGAATACCATGTGCGTTTATTATGTAGTACTATTATTAGAATCGCACAGCTCTTTTTGTACTATATTACCATTAAATCTTGTTTAATGCATTGCATGTAGCCTACATGAATTAACGGCTGCAACATGTACATTTTTATTTGTATGTAGGATGTCTTTAGCTATTACCTCGTATTACGGAGTATTATATTCATATGTGTCGAATGTAGTATATTTGTATGTAGGATGTCTTTAGCTATTACCTAACATCTGATACATTTGAGTTGAAATTGTTAAGATGTCATTTTTATTATTTATATCATATGTATAATTATCACTTGTAACAAAAGGTCACTTTTGTCATTTAAATCAAGGTCTTATCTGGTCAACCTAACTATTATAAAAATGTAACTTTTATTATTGAAACATTTGTATCTGATTAAAAACGTCATCGATGTTAAAAGTATATCTGATTCACTTAATTATAAAAATGTCACTTTTATTATTGGAACATTTTTATCTGACTAAAACTGTCACAAATATTAAAATTTATTTGAATCACTTGATTATAAAAAAACACTTTTGTAACATTTTAGCTGACTAATAAAATTATTTATTTTGTTTAAATTTTTCGGAGTGTCACAATCTACCCTCCTTAAAAGATGCTTCGCCTTAAAGAATGTATCCACAAATACAATTAATGAGTAGGTATCACATGTTAGTAAATATTAGAATCATTTTATTAATTCTTTTTTTTCTTTTTATTAAATTTTAGGGATGTCACATTCTACCCTCCTTAAAAGAATGCTTCGTCCCCGAAGCATTTAACTTACTTAAGAAAATAGATTATTCATCTAAGATCAAAACGATACATAA